CTCCCCCAATTCCCCAATAAAATCTTTAAAAAAATAAAAAGTGTATGTCATTGTTTTTTCAGTCTATTCACAGGGTTGTGAATCACCGCAATCTAACTTTAGAACTTTCTTACTCCCCTGACCTTTACCCATTGGCAGTCAGTCAACCTTCCTCACCGCTTAGCCTTAACCAACTGCTGACCTACTTTCTGTTTATAAATTTGCCTATTTCTCTCTACAAAAATTTGCCTCTTCTGGACATTTCATGTAAAGGGAATCACACATATGGTCTTAACATTGTAATTTTTAAAGCACACGTGTTTTGCGTTTGCGTTGCCTTCCTCTTCCCCTTCTTTCATTTATTTTCTGCTTGTTTCAAGCACTCCTCCCGTAAGAAACTTAAAAGGGGTTACCTTTTTCAAACCAAGGTGGAAAGGCTGGTACTTTGCATTCCGTACCTTTCTGTAACTAATGAGTTTTCTAACTATGTATCTTTTCACTATTTTTAAGAATTATCAACAAGTTATCTAGACAGGCTGATTATGGGCCACTTTTTCAACTTCTGAATTGAAAAAACAAAAAAAAAAAAACGAATGCATCTTATCTTTTAAAAGTCAAACTCATGTCATATTCCCAAAGCCTTTCTTTTTCTCCAGGACTTCGTGTTTTAGTAGCAGGTAGTTCTTACGTCAGGTACCTGGTTGGTGTTCCTCATCTGTTTATTTGCACATCTTTTTTGGTGGAGTTCCCCCAGGGTCAGGGTTGTGCCTTATTTCTGTGCTGATGGAGGCTGGCAGGAGGTAGGCATCAGTGTTGAATAGGGGCCATACCTTCCTCCTAAGGAGTTGCTATTGAGGGTGCATTCTCTCATGCTCTATGATCCCCATAAATCGCTATCTTACTCTAGTCCATATTCGCAATACAGCATTTTATGCTACCGAATCGGACATGTCCTGTTTCATCTGTTGTTCTCTTCCCCAGAGAGATTGTAATCCCCTTGGAGGGCTATGTCCTAGAGTCTTGGATCTCTGGCAAGGCTAGGATTTAGGCCTAGGTTCATGAAATCCCATTAAGTTTCCGATGAATTACAGAATGCAAGACAGTGTGTTTTCTGCATAATAATTGTAACAGGCTTTTATACCCTCTGTCTATATTTACCTCTGCAGGGCAGGGCCCAGGCCTCTTTAGTCAATATCAACTTAGGGGCTGTGAAATTGTACTCTTCTTTGTTCACAGAAAAATATTTAGTTTTTATGAGCAGTGTTGGCATAGGAGAACAATGAGAACTATAAGGAGGGATAGAGGTGTGTGATAGGCTTTCCAGAGTTTTGGAGTGGTAGATTAAAAAATGGCCGCAAATATTTTTGAGAGGAAAAGCCTGTTTCCTCTCCCCTTGAATTTGGGCTGGTCTTGGTGACTTGTCTGAGGAATGGAATACAGCAGAAGCGATGCTCTGGGATTTTCAGGCCAGGTCATAAGAAGCCTTGTAGTGTCTGACAGGCTTTGCAGAGCTCTGAGCCACCATGTAATAAGTAAAACTACCACTTGGCTCTGGGAAGGGGTGAGAAGGATGGGACCAGCCCAGCTAAGCCCAGCCTTCAAGCCATTCCTGCCAAGGGCACACAGGGGAAGCAATCTTGGACTCTCCAGAGCTGCCCAGCCATCACCTGAATGTCCCCAAGTGGTTCCGGTGGTGCCACATGGGTGGTGCAGAAAACTTGCCCAGCTGAGCTCTCCCTGAATTCCTGATACAGAATTGTGAAATATAATAAAATGGTAGTGGTTTTAAGTCAGTAAATTCTGTGCTTGTGGTTTAACTTTTGTTTTTTTTCCCCTCAGCTTGATGCACTTAGAAACGAAATTAGGGTCTAGGATTTTACTGCACTAACAACTATGAAAGTATGCTAGCCTAAAAAAGAAATAATAATCTAGAAAATCATTTTATTTTTTTCTAGTTGACTTTTCAGAAACGGTGGGATACTCAAGAACTCTCTTCGAAGTGGTTTTTTAAGTTTGGTGTCTCTTGACTTTTCCATCAGAATAGTTACTTGTGTAAGTGCTTCCTGGTGAGGCTGGACAATTGGATAGGCTGTGACCCATTCAAATTCTTTCACTTCCTCTTTCTCCACTTGAGATTTTGGGAGACGAGCTTGGGTGAAGAGTTTCTGAGCATTTCGTTTATCATTTCTTTGCTCTGTGAGTTCTCTCCCTCGAATCATTCGATCTTGGTGTCGCTGTATCTGTTCCATTGTCCATGCCACCTTGTGCTTTTGGGTTTTAGCTCTGGGTGTTTTCTGGATATTTTCAGCCTTCTCATCCTTCTCTTGTCTGGATGTTTCAGTGAAAAGCACTTTGCTTGGAAGTCTTTGAGGCAGTAGTTGACGCGGGTGGCCGCGGAGGCCTCTGGCTTGCTCGGCTCTGTGGATGTGTTTCTTTATGTGTTTCAGCTCCCTCTCGGACACGACATAGTCCCATTCTTTAGCATCTTCTGTTGTTTCACTGTGTGGTCTCTCTGCCTTTGTTTTAATTGCCCATGTTGGAACCGCGTCGTTGTTCCATGCCTTTTCCAGCATCGTTTTTTGATGCAGCTGATAATAGCGCTCATCTGCTTTGGCAACCCAGAAGTCAAAAGACATGGCCTTAAGTTTATGAGCTGTTTCATTCTCCTGTTGAAACTTTCGGGCTAACAGTTGCCTCACTTTTGAAGAATGGACACCACCTAAACTCTTGTCAGAAGGAAATATTAAAACTTTCTAAGTTAGATGTCCTTTATCATCATCCATGGCACAGATCTCAAGTGACAATTAGCCCTGCCTGGCACTCCTCCACCACGTCCCAGTGAGGGACCCTTAACTGGGTTTCATGTCCTCCTCTTCAGGTCGCCTACACTCCCCTCTCCTAGTTGAAGACTTTGCCTAAGGCTTCCTAGAGGAAATAAACGTTCCCTCAGGAGCACCCTCCTTCCCACAGGGCGTCTATCCCAGACCTTGCCCTTCTGCCTTTACAGTGGAAACATTACTCCTTTATCAAAAGCCAGTGCTTCCATCTGGGATTGTTGAGCTTGAAGAACCAAATTCCCTTTCCTGCTTCATCAAAGTTTCCCTGCTACCGGATCACTGCATCAGCACAAAATATGCCTCAGTATATATCGTCTTGAAAAGAGGAAAACTTCCTTTACTGCCCCTCCCTCCCTAGCTTCTACTGCCTGTTCTCTCATCGCAGTGTAACTTGGAGCAGATGCCTGTAACCACTCTCCACTTTCTCACCTTACGTTTTAACCCTCAATCCTCTTCAGCTGGGTGTCCATCCCCCACTTCTCTGAGACTCCTCTCAGCTCGGTCATGACTGACCGCCACATGGACAAATTCAATGCCCCCATCTCTGTCCCTGTCGTACTCGACCTCTCATCCTATGGAGGTGACCGCTCTCTCCTCCTTAAACTACTTTATTTTCTCCTGGCTTCCAGGCTCTGGCCAAGGGCACGTGATGGGGAGGCCATCTCGGACCCCCAGACTCTTCCAGCCAAGTGACCGACGAGGCCCTCATTCTCTTCCTGCTTCGTGGCCACTCCCTCCACCTGCTTTGCTGGTTCTTTTAAATGTAATGCAGGAAAAGATGGCAGAGAAATTGTTACTTAAGAGAGAGCACTTTCACATTTAGGCCTCCGTGGACACGGACAGTCTCAGTCATTCAACCAGGTGGCCTTCCGTGTGTCAGGGCACTGCTCTAGAGAGGGAATCAGGGATGAGCAAGTCAGCCGAGGCACACTAGGCTGCTGTATGTTCGCCTCTCGACTTGGACCTAGATACTGTCTGCGGGATGTCTCCACTTGACTCTTCCCCTGGAGTGTTTTCAGTTCCCCCCTTCTCAATCCTGTCCCTTCTAATCTAAAACTGCCCCCACCCCAGGGTAGCAGCCTAACTGGCTTCCCCGAATCCATCTTGTCTCCTTCTGTCCCCAGCCCCATCAGACCGGTCACAACAGTGGCCAGCATGCTCTTTGTAGCCCTTGAAACACTCAGGCCCTTTTTGCCTTGGTGATCAACTTTGTGTGACTATTTCACTGACTTCAAAATTCATGGTAAACGTATTTCCTCACCTTAATCATCTTTTCTAGCGGGGACTGGGAACCTACTGCAATCCGAGGGTCTTGAGTCTTCTGGACCCAGGCCAATCTAGAAGATCAAGAAGAGAAATTATACTAGGATTTGTAGCAGGGTTTCAGGAAACACCCTCTGGTATGAATTGTATTAGGGACTTGATTTGGGACTGACTTTCCATAGGTAGCAAAAGGCATTTCTCTGTGCCCACAGGCAGAACTCTACTATGTTTAATTTCTTGTATTTTTCCTTGAAGCGAGGAAGGAACGCTTTCTAATAAAAGTACAAAGTCACGTTGTGTTTGAGGTTGAGACTGGCAGAAGCACCTTTATTTTAACACCGGACAAGGGAGGCCGAGCTGCTATTTCAAGTTCCACAAAGCACTGTTTTGTGTATAATTGTTGGTAGAACCAAGAAATTACCCTTGATGTGAAAATCAGTTTTCAAAGTTGGTAAGTCCACTTTAAGTAGTTATGCATAATTAATAATAGCTGATAAGCTATCGTTAATTTCCAATAACAGCTATCCAACTATAATGTTTCAAGACTCTTGTCAAAGGTTTACATTTCAGATAAATGAAACAATTTGACAGCAAGAAAGGTTTTTTTAATGCAGAAAAATTCTTCATTTAACATAAAGCATGGTCCCATTTAGGCATCCTTGAGCCCTGCTATTAATATGTCTTAACCTGCTTGGTAAGTAAACAGGCTCTCTGTTTAGCAACCTGGGTTATAAATGCTGTTGTTCTGACTTCTCTTAGCAGCAAAAGAGAAGGGTTTTATAACAGAACTGGAAAAAACAAAACTATATTTGCCTTTAAGTAAAGCTAATTTATTAAAAAGACTCACATTTCTGCTTTCAGATTTTTCTTTCCTAAAAGGTTCTTGTAATTATTCCCATAGCAACATGTATAGAGTTTACTGTACACTAGGCATTGTGTTAAGAGCTAAGTGGATTCTTAAGCTTCTAAACAACCATATGGGACAGGTCCTCATTATCTCCCATATAGCAAAGCAGGCTGAGACCAAGAGAGGGTCAGAGATTTGTCAAAGGCCCCACGGTTAGTTTCAGAAGCACAGTTTGTGCCCGCCCGTGTGACTCCAGAGCTCATGATTTTCATTCCTGTGCTATTGGGTCTTCGGAAAAGTCATGACATATTTTGTCTGTTTTTCAAAGGTCATTTATTTATATAAAGAACAAAGATCAATCGATATATTGCCCATTTTGTTCGATAACCTTTTGCCATCTTTCAGTGAGCTTCATAATCCCTCGTTCATAGAAGGACCTGTCTTTATTTGAGAAAA